CGTAGGAGGAGTTAGGGTGGAACTTGACTGCTGTGACGTCACTGAGGCTGCTGAGGATGAGTCTCTCAGGTGCGCCACTTCTGGTGGACCAGACGACGCACTGCTTGTCAGCCCCGCCTGATGCGAAGTAGAAGTCGTTTGGGGCGAAGTCAACTGCCCAGACCGGAAAGACGTGGGCGCGGTAGACGCCGACGCATTCGAAGACCTCGAGCGACCAGAGGCGGACGGAGCAGTCGGCCGAGGCCGAAAGAAGGAACTTGCCCGTGGTGGAGAACTTGAGGGCGACGACGGCCTTGGCGTGGCCGACGAGGCGGACTGGGGCAGAGAGCGCCTCGAAGGGCGCCTCTGCGTCGTCCTTCAGCGACGAGGAGGGCCGAAGTCGGCGGAGTGGCTCGTTCGTGAGGGAGTGGACGTCGATGTAGCTCTCGGCGTAGCCACAGGCGAGCAGCCTCGAGTCGGCCGATATCTCGGCACAGGCGAGTGACTCGTAGGTGTTGTGGACGGTGTAGCAGCAGATCGATGGCAAATAGTCCTTGCTCAGACTCACCCTTTTGCAGATGTCCTTGAGCTTCTCGATCTCGGCCTCGACCAGAGACGGACTCGCTCGCAGCCGCGACTCGCCCCGCCTCTGCTTCTTCAGGCGCATCACAAACTGCTCGANAGTGACTCGTAGGTGTTGTGGACGGTGTAGCAGCAGATCGATGGCAAATAGTCCTTGCTCAGACTCACCCTTTTGCAGATGTCCTTGAGCTTCTCGATCTCGGCCTCGACCAGAGACGGACTCGCTCGCAGCCGCGACTCGCCCCGCCTCTGCTTCTTCAGGCGCATCACAAACTGCTCGAGATGGTCGTACTTGTATTGGTCGGAGCAGAGGACCGAGTTCTCTGCCTCGGCACTCACCAGGGGCGCATTCGTCTCGATCACCGCGTCAGTCGCGCCCTCCACGATGCCCTGGGGCACTGAATGACCAGCGATGTTTGCTGCCGTCTGCACCTTGATGTCCATGTACGTGTTCATCAGCTTCAGGACGTAGACCATGTCGTGCTCCTCGATGAAGTTCACAAGCAGGTTGTAGGCGTATTTGGACATCACCAGGAAATACTTGTTTGACCGGAATCCATGGACAAGGGCATTTTGGTAGATGTGCTGGGGCAGTGTCACGGACTCAAAGGCTCGCAGCTCGTTCTGGCTCGCAGGGCCGACTGCCGCGAACTCGCGGCAGTGGCGGCCGAAGAACTCCTTCGCCTCCTCGGGCTGCTCCGCCTGGATCAGATCGACGTAGACGTGGAGGAAGATCGGGTAGAGCAGCGGAATCAGGTCGTTCTTGAAGAGGTCGAGGGAGTCCTCTACCCAGTTCTTCAGCTTCGAGAACATTTCGATACGGTCGATCTTATTCTCAGTCAAATAGGACGACTTCGGTAACTCAACTTTGAGTTTCTGTTGCATGGGTGAAAAGGGTGGTATAAGGGTATAAGGGTGGTAGGGTAGTTAGCAGTGGTAGTGGTAGTTAGTGAGAATAATAGGTAGGGTAGTTAGTGAGGGTAGTTAGCAGTGGTAGTTATGGTCTAAAATATGCTTAACTATTCTACTACTATTCTTATTATTACCATTTCTACCCTATTATTCTTACTACCCTTTTTTCTACCCTGATATGTTCATGAAGAAAGTATTCACACAAGTAGTCAATCTCAGTCCACAGTACATTGGTGCAAACATGCATGGGCTAGTCAGACAGTATCTCATAGAAAACGTAGAGGGAACGTGTTCGCCACATGGATTCACAATCACAGTCGTAGACGTACGATCCATTTCAGAGGGGGCAATCATGCTGAATGGATACACCAAATTCAGAATAGAGTACGAGGCACTGGTACTAAACCCAGTCAGGGGAGAGGTGGTCGAGGCACCAATTGTATCAGCCAACAAAATGGGCTATTTTGCATCAGTCGGCCCACTCTCAATATTCATCTCAACGTACCAGATTCCAGCAGAGCTCCAGAACACGCTCGCAGCTAACGACACCGTTAGACTCCGCATCATCGGAACCAAGGCAGACTCAGAGAAGATCTACGCAATCGGAACACTCAAGGACGAGTGTCTTGGGGCTGTGGTCTGACTACGATAATTAGCATAATTGATTATGCTTAAATAGTCTATTTATTCTTCTTTGTTTGTCAGATCCTTCTTGTCTCCATCTGATATAAAGGTGACTGCGCCACTCTGGGCCACGTGGCCACTCTCCTCCTCCTTCTTCCTCTCCTTCCCGTACTGGATTCCCTGCCTGAAAATGTTGTCGCTCTTGTAGAGCAGGTCGTTGATGTTCAGGCCTCGCTCCTCAGAGGCAGCCTCCTTCAGTCGCAGGTCAGCACTGCGAATCAGACTGTCCAGCTCACTCAGCCTCGATCCATTTCCCTCAGAAAGTGCCTCCCCACTTCGTCCTCCCTCAGACCCAAATAGCAGTCGCTCTCCCCCTGTCTCGTCTGAATACGCCTCCTTTCTTCCCTTTCTGCTGTAATTTACAATTTCATCCAGAATGCTCCTTTTCTTCTTTTTGATGATGTTCGCATTCTGAACATCGTCCTGGCTGAAGAGCGTCTTGCTCAGGAGATCCCCGCTGTTCTGCTTGAAAAAGAGGTCCTCTCCAAATCCACCAAAAAGGGGCGCCCTCGCCTCCAGCGGCGCCTTGCTCGCCCGCTGCTTGATCACGTTCCTGTTCGTCTTCGTGTTGCTGAATATCCCAGTCGAATACGGCTTCGAGGCCACGAAGAAGGTCTCTCTCCTCATGTCCCTCTCCATTGCGTCGCAGAAGAGGGCGTCATGTGGTGCCGAGTACCAGTAGAACACCTTCTGCTTCTTCTGCGTCCTAATGCACCCGTTCTTGTACATGAATTCAAGAAACTCGCTTCTTGGCCCCTCCAGGGTCGCATCAATTCCAGGCTTCAGGTTCCTCAGGTCGCTGAAGATGCCCTCCTCGAACTTCTTCAGGTTGTTGATCTGCCTTCCCTCCATCTGAAACCGGTAGATCAGGATCTTCACGATGTCAGTTCCAGAGATGTAGAAGTGGAAGTTCCATAGCACGCAGTGGATGAAGTCGCCGTTCTTCATCTGGAACTTCTTGATCCGCTCGTTCTCCCTGAACTTCTTGGGCGCATTGACCAGGAAGTCGTACAGCTCCGCGTCCTGCAGCTCGGTGGCGTAGGTCTGTTCCATTGTCATAAACAATCACCAATTTATATGGGAATGTTTATTTGTATTCTGCTACAGTGTTTTACAAACAATAATAATGCATTTGATGGGATTGCTGCTGAAAGTGGGGGTAGTTAGGGTGGTAATTAGGTCGTAGTGAGGGTAGTGGCTATGAATAACCAAATTGTTTTAGGTGTCAAATTGCTCCTAGGGTGACACCTCTGTAAATATTATTGTAGTCTTTTTGGGGTGATAATGATGAAAAATGACAACTTCTTCAATGTGCTGTTTCTGACGGTGTTGAAGCAGTTTAGGAGGGATGGATTGGGACTGGATCAGGTAGAGAGGGAGGGTAGGGAGTTGGGTCTCCATTTTGTGGACTATTTTGCACTTAGAACCCATTTACACCATAAGGTCTATTCTAGCAAGTTGGAGCACATGATTAGACAGTTTGTGGAGAGGATGATCTGCAACAATGGGGCTGTGGTATCAGAGACTGATGAGGGGGTTTTGGTGGAGTTTGATGGAAGCAGTGATCTATTCAGTGGTGAAATGGCAATCAGCTTCATCAGAGGCATTCTTAGCAGAGTGACTGAGGTGGCATTCGAGGGAGAGGTGGTGGTGAAAGTGGTTTCAAGCAGTTCAATTCTTCTATTCTATTGAAATGACGTAAATGATTAAATACTCCTTTATCGCATATAATTGATCGGAAATGGGGCCCATGACTGGGTTGAACACGACCACAGAGACACGGTTGAAGAAGGAGGCGCGTATGGCATCCAAGAACAAGGGCAGTCAGATCGTATTGGATCCATGTGTGGATGGGAATCTGTTTCACTGGAGAGCGTGGATTATTCCAGACAAGTCTTCCATCTACCACAACATCACATTCGAATTGGACGTAAAAATACCAGCAACGTATCCGTATAAGCCACCACGAATCATTTTTGAGTCTCCGATATTCCACCCTAACATAAATTCAGGTGGGCTGATTTGCATTTCATCCCTGGGAAAGGACTGGTCTCCGGCATTGACGATAGAAAAGAGTCTCTACAGCATTCTTTCTCTACTGGACGAGCCAAATCCAATGGATCCGCTGCGGCCGGAGGCAGCAGAGCTCTTTCTCACCAACAAGGAGGAGTATGAGGCAAGATGCAGGACTGAGGGCGACAAGGGCAATTGAGTAAATAGGTCACCTTCCGCCGTGTATTTCCTGTTTCTGGAGGTCGTACATGGTGGAATAGCTCTCATCCGCCATTATTCCATTTTGAAGCAGATACTTTTGAAGGGGTTTGTGTTTGTTACTTCTTCGCATGAATTCAAGGAAGTCCCAGGCCAAATGAAGCTTGTTTTCAGCAAGACAGAGGTCGACAAACTGCCTGTAGTGCTCCTGGTTGTATGGAATGATCATGTGCATCTCCTCTGCATCCAAATCATTGAATCTGATGTAATTCAGCAGCTCTAACTTATTTTTGTCGTCTAGTAGCTTGTATGCCTTACAAAGAACCTTATTTGGGACACTTCGTATGAAATTGGCGTAGAACTCCTTGTTCAACTCTTTGTTCTGTTTGTCCGCGATTATTTGGCATAGCAGCTTCTCAGGCCTGAATTCGTCTCGATACAGCTCATTCAGTCTCGTAAAAAGAGTCTCCTTGAAACACGCAAAGAGAACAAACATCTCATAGATGCTCTGCTCGTTGATGTAGTTGTGAATTGCGAATCTCTCTGGAACTATTTCAATGAATCCAGCCACATTCTGTCTCACAATGATGTTCTTATGAATTACGTAGCATGAATTGGCTGTTAGTACAATTAGAAAGAGTCTTTCACCAATGGTGCGATGACTAATCTTAACTACGTCTGTTATCAATGCATTATCACAGTAGACAAATAGCCTGTTTTCTATTACTATCTTTGGTTCACTCTGCTCCTTATAAACCTTGATTCTTCCCAACTTATCTTCAATCAGAAACCCTCTTGCACCGCTTTTGCCCTTTTTTCTTGTTCTTGGCAAGCAGTGCTTGCATTCGTAGCAATCACAGTCTTCCTTAGTCTTCTCTTCAGAAGTCTCCTCAATCTTCAACTGCTCACTCGTGTAATAAACTGTACCATTTCCAATGAAATAGAGTAACTCGTCCTTGTTTGTACAGAAAGCAGTTTCACCACTCTCATTCACAACAAATGCCTTATTCTTGTCACGAATCAAGAATATTCCATTGTTGTCTATGATTGGAACTGTGCTTCTGTACTTCTTAACATCTTTCTCAAAACAGACTTCCAGCTTCTTCTCGTGCATAACAAATGTTAGATTGTTCTGTTTGTAGGCTATGACTGCCTTCCTACTCTGTTTGAAGATGCTCTTGGTTGGTAGGAGTCTGTATTCGTATATCTCATTCTTATGTCGCACGAAGAAGTTACTGCTATCTTCTGGAATCTTGTAGTCATTTGAGTATTTTGCTACAAATTTGTAATCCATTTTAAGGCCCTTGAAATGACAACAAAACAAACAAATGCACCACCTGAGCTGTTTGAAAAAGAGAGAGTGGCCAGGACTGAGAACAACGTAGACGATCTACAGGCAATACAATTTGTGATACTACAAACATCCAAGACTGAGGATGAGCTAATTACGAATCTGAAAATATTGCAGAATAAGAGGAAGCAGAACCACGTTTGTTTCAAGAAGCTGATTGAGTACGCAGTAGGGACCAATGAGACCGTTGGGTTTCTGGAGAAGATGCTGAATGAGGTGGTGGCTGGGAAGATGTATTTGGAAAGTGAAAGAGTTGCAATTGTGGAGAAGCTTGAGAAGTTGCATCTGAAACAGAATAATACCGTTGGAGCGTACGAAGTGCTATCATCTGTGCCAATTGAGACATTCACAAGCGTAGATGAGCGCAAGAAGAATGAGATTCTTTTTGAGACATTTCGTCTTGGATTTATGCTTAAGAAACACGTTGAATGCGAATTGACCCTGAGGAAAATTAGGCAGGTGGATTTAACAAAGGAAGAAAAAATCAGGTTTCTAAATTACAAAATATTCCTGTTAGTGGCACAGGGAACATTTCTGGGCGTTGCTAGGATGTATATGGAGCTGATTGCAATAGAAAGGAGTCAGAAGAACGTGGTATTGGGTAGCTACTACGCCATAATTGCCAACTCATTCTATGAATCGAGCTGTGGTATCAAAGAAGAGAGAAACAGACTCATTAAGGAGTATGCTGAACACACCATGAACAGTGAGCAGATGCGAGTGGTCTTAGTTGAGTTCTGGAAGACCTCTATTTTGAATAAGGCCATTTTGAAGGACATTAAGGTTGTTGTTCAACAGTACGAAGCCAAAATGGAATTCAATGAGGAAGCTCTGCTAAATGCATTGCATGAGCACAACTTCAACGCAATACAGACATTCTTCACCAAAGCAACGCTGAAGGAGATTGCATTTCTGATGCAAATCAACGAGGACGAGGCCGTGGAATTCATAAGCAGGGCCGTGAACGAGAAGATTGTGGCTGTTAAGATTGACCAGGAGAATGGGATGGTGGATCTGGGACCAAAGAGGTGGAACGACAAGGTCGATGGTGTCTTAGACAGAATCATAGACGTCAACCACATCATTGAGATGGAAACAATGGAATAGTCTCCATTTTGTTTGTTTTAAGCTTATTTTGTTTATTTATGCATTTTACCCTAACCCATGGCTGAAAAACAAACAGAACTCAAAGACCTCGAGCACGTTGCCAAACAGATGAAATGGTACGAGGTCGGCTGCATTCTGGTTGCGAATGCTGGTGATGAGGCGTCCTTGAGCCACTCGTTCAAGTATCTGTCGAAGATGCACCATTCTACAATTGCGGATGTGACAGTAGCCCTTCTCCGCGATAACAGTAGCCGTGACACAAAAATGCTTGAAAAACTCGTTGATTTTGCACTGGCTTCGATTGGCCACACTGAGATCGATCCAGACAAGACGAACTCGGTTGTCAGGATCCAAATTGCATACGCTGTCCGCCTCGTCAAAGAAGGAGACCTTAGAAATGTCGAGTCGAAAACCATTGAATTCCTGAAGATGCCTGGTCTCTCCCAGGAAAACAGACGTGAGGCCTTCTTCCTTGCATTTTGCCTCTACGAGAAACTTGAAAACTGGGACTACGCCATCCGATTTGCACTTGAATGCGATACCAGTCGCCTTGACATCGTTTCCATTGCAAAATACGCCGTGATATCGCGGTCTTTCTTCAATTTCAGTCGAATTGCGAAGCTACCAAATTTCAGTCGCCTTAGCCCAGAAATGCGCCTGCTGATCTCGTCACTGATCGATGGCTCATTCGTCCACTCCACCAATCCACCCCAGGTTCCTGTTCTCTCAGAATACACCAGTTTGATCAAGGAAAAGGCGTTTATGGTTGAAATAGTCTCAATCTGCCAAGAGCACCTTGTAACCAAAACAGTTCCATTTGATCAGTTTATTGATGCAATGAATCTGAGTGAGACCAACTCACTGATCTATTTGCTGATCAAGGCCCTTGGTCACCGACTTGTCACTGGATGGATTGATTCAGAGAGACGTGTCTTCTGTTTTGATACGATCATGCCACGTGATCTGTCTGAAGATGAGAAGAGCCAAATGAAGCAGAAGTTCGTGAGTCTACGGGATAGGGTGAGAATGGCCATTTCAATATTCTCATAGTAGTTAATTAGAGTTATTGAGAAGTGCCTATATTCTAGGTTCCTAAGAACAGGGGTTCTTATGAATAAACCTTTCACTTTACAAGAGTATTACTAAAACTGTTGTTTTATTTCACTCATTGTTGATTTGAATTGGTTTAATTTTGTTGCTGATATGAATTTCTCAATATCAATCTCCTCTTTTATCATTGCAGCCTTCTTTTCCTCAAACTTCTTTCCAACCATCTGCTCCATCTGATCAACCAGTCGCCCAAAGACTGCTTCCCTGTCTCCTTCTTTCCCATTCGCCTGCCTGTATTTCTGATAGAACTTCTGATCGATCTTCTGCCTGAGCTCCTCGTGCTCGTTGTAAACCACCATTCGCTGTAGTGCACTGAAATCGTGCACTTCTTCAACTGGAACGAATCCCCAACCATACTTTCTTCCCCTAGCCAGAATTCCATTGAAATCGTACTCATTTTCAGAGGCAGTCACGGCCATGATATTGCAGTAGCAGTCTGCGACCACAATCTCCTTCCCCAGCTTCCGTTTCAGCTTCTCCATCTCTTCTTCAGTGTAGCTGTCTGCCTTGGCCACAATTGGAATCACATTCGTGATCTGACTCAACTTATTCAGTAAATCAATATCAGCCTTCTTGTTTTCATCACCAGGAATCAGAAACAGCACCACGTGAATGCGTCTATCAACCACTCTCTCGAATATCAACTGTTCTTCAAGCAGATACTCCCCATATCGACTGTTTATGACGTCAATCACCTCTCTCGTATCCTCCATGTTGTGATATGTGCTCAATCCAACACGTAATTTGACTGAATTCTCAACAATCTCGTTCTCAACCGTGTGGATCTCGTCTCCTCGTCCACCACTCAGCAATGCACAGCCAAAGAGCGAGTTCACGAGTGTCTTGGCCCCCAGTCCCCGACGCCCTACAACCAGAACGTTGATTCTGAATCCATCTTCGATGCTCTTCTCGCGTATCTGATCAGGAATAGAGGCGAATCCAACCTTATTCTGCAACACGACCTTTCTGTACGATATGTCACGGCCCATTGTTTGTTTACTGGTTTATGGATAAATACGATGAAACAGTTTGTGAGTAAATTTTATTACTGATAAGGTTATCAGGTATTAAATTGATCATAAATTACCACTACCATTCATTATTGCTAGAATTGAAGGAAACATAATGATCTTACTGGGATCGATTCTCTTCTGGTCTACCACCTTATTTTGCCATGTGGTTTCTCACAGATCACAGCAGGAGTTCTTAAGAGTAGATTTTTATAAAAACCCTTTCAATTACCATGAATCATTCACTATCACTATAAGCTTGGAATATACGCCCTCCTCTGTTACCTACGTATTTGCCTCCCCTTGTCATATCTTTTTCTCTCCTTATCCTCTCCCTTTCTTCCTCACTGAGCTGCCTCTCCACACTAAGCCCGATTAAACCATCACGTGGGACATCGGTCGCCTCCTTTGTTTCATCCGAATCGGTTGAACTGATGTCATCATCGATGTCAACGATCGGGCGAGACACAGTTTCTCGTGGTGGAGAATCAAAAGTACGAGGAGCTCGGTTTGGATTTGACCTTTTCACCTTCTTGTTCTTCAAATCTTCTCTGAGATTAAGAAACGGGAATGAGATGGTTTCTCCTGGTTGAAGTGGAGTTTCAGGTGGAGAAATAGCCGAACCTGACGAAGAGTGACGCGTCTTCTCAAGTTTCAAAGGAGTGAGATCGGGGTTAGGACGATACTGTCCAAACTGACTGGTGGAAGGTGGCTCATTGGAGCCAAATAAGTAACGGTTGGAAGCTGATGATTCTACACCAGGTTGAAATGGGTCGTGAGTGTCTGGCTTCTGAAGATTAGGAGCAGAACCTGATTCATTTTTCTTACCAGTCTTCTTCTTGCTCTTATCCTTGCCCTTACCCTTGCTTCGTGTCATTCTGCGGCTACTAGCACACGATATCATATTGATCAAAATGACCAAAGCAACGAACATGAGGTGTAATATTTCTCAGTATTTATACTCAAATCTTATTGGATTTTAAATTAGAGATGTTTCACATGTAATATGCTATTCACTGATGAAACACTACTAAAATAGCGTAGAACCAATTTATTGTTCAACTTATAACTGACATGAATGAGATATGATTGATTTAATATGGGTAATATAAGTAAAAAGTGATATGTTTCAGGTTGACGTGTGTGAGTCATTTGGATGGATCAGTCACGTATTTGGGCGAAGTTGAAATTTCTCTAAATCAGTCAAAATACTCATCAAAATATACCATATGAAAAAGAGTAGTAAAATTGAAGAGGTCAAAAGTGCAGCAAAAGAGAGGAATGTTGATGAACTGGTTAAAATGGCAAGTAGAGTAGATCCAAAGGAGGCACTGCCACTCTACGAGGAATTCTACGAGAATGAGATGAATAGAAGTGTATTCGTACACAACTTCGTGGAGAGATTCGGAGACAGACGTGGTAGTACAGTACAAGCCAGACTGAAAAACAGGGCTGGATTGCATACATTTCAGTTAAACGAGTTTTCCAGTGCGAATAGAAAGTAAATTGGTAGAAATGTGTTTTTTTAGCCCAATGGCAAAGAGACACACGTCGAAATACGTGCAAATGGAAGCAGAGAGTTCTGAGGAGGAGATCAACTCTGACGTAACCAGTGAAGATCTGGATGGGTTTGTGGAGCCAGATTACGGCAGAGAGCGTAGGGATCTCTACGGTGAAAAAGTGAGTGAGTTGGAGCAGAAGTACGCGAAATACGTTGAGAGAGAGGACGAGTCGACGACAGAGGAGATCAGGCCACAAATACGGCCATTTCCAACATCAATGGATCCGCTTCTTTTTCTAGTTCGAGTCAAATTTGGTAAGGAAAAGAGCATCGCAAACAGAATCATCGAGCAGGCTAAAGGTGTAGGAGACGTGACTGCTGTGGTCCAGAAGGACGGATTGAAAGGATACATCTACGTGGAGGCGTTCAAGAGGACTGCTGTAGATGAGGCGGTGCAAAGGGTGAAGAACGTCTACAAAAACAAGATTTCAGCAATTCCATTTAGTGAGATGATTGACGCATTGAGCTGTAGAAAGGACTATATTGTGAATGATTATGCACGTGTGAAGTCTGGGAAGTACAAGGACGATGTGGTGCAGGTGCTTGAGAACTACGAAGACTGCTGCCAGATCAAGGCCGTTCCAAGACTGAATGACAGAAGAAGACTCTTTGACCCAGAAGAATTCAGGGCCCAGGTCACGGCCAAAAATGGCGGATTCTACTACAACAGAGACTTCTTCAGGGATGGGTTTCTGATTAAGACGGTTCTGAAGATGTCACTTGATTTCGACATCCAGCCCACGTTCGATGACCTGAAGCAGCTCGATACTGAGAGACCAGTTCGGCTGAATGACGCAGTTCGAGTTGTAAAAGGGGATTTGAAGAATTTCACTGGGAAGGTGGTGAGCGTAGCAGGGAGCACGTGTGTGGTCTCAGACGGAACCAGCACGTTCGACGTGGACGCAGGCTGCCTCGAGAAGCGCGTTGAGGTTGGAGACGTCTTCTCGTACGCTGGTGAAAATGGAGTGGTTTTGCAGAAGGAAGGAAATCGAGTTGTTCTTGGAATACGAGAAATGCAGGACGAGGTCTCTGTTCACATCAACGACCTGGAAGGAAGAGTCGTTGAGAGACCAAAGACAACCAAAACAAGGCCACAGACGCCCAAGAAGCGCCTTGATTTGCTTGTGAACAAAAATGTGAGAATTGTGGCTGGTGCCTACAAGGGGCTAGTTGGAATTGTGAAGGAAGTTCATAGGGAAAGATGCAGGGTGCAACTGATGTCTAATTTGGAGTCAGTTCACGTCTACAAGAACGATATCAGAGAGATAGCACCAACTCAGCAGGCACAGGCTTCAGCAACACCTGGATACAAGACACCTGGAAGCAAAACACCAGGATACACTACACCTGGTTATAAGACACCAGGATACACCACGCCTGGATACAGGACGCCTGGATATGCGCCACCTGAGACAGAGATTCAGGCAGCCAGCGTCTACTACGGGATGAAGATTCTCATTGACGGGTCTGAGAAGACGGTGAGTAGAATGGAAGAGAGCATCTACTACACCACAGATGGTAGGGAGGTGGCTGCTACTGAAATGGTGCCAGTGAGGCCGACGAACAAGTACGATCCAGTATTCATATTCAGGGGAGACCACAAGGAGAAGAATGGTGTTCTGATTGAGTTTGAAGAAGAGATCGGGAAGGTGGAGCTGATGGGAAATGAGTACGTGAGAGTGAAACTAGATGACATGGCTGTGAAGAATTAGTATCATTAACCAGGGTACTGGTAGATTGGGTCAAATATTCAGTTAAATGTTTTCTTACCCCAATGTCAAATGTTTTCGTCTATTTCGTCAAGACAACTCCACCAATCACGCGAATCTACTGCGCAGTGGCATTTGCAGTGCTTCTGGTGACATCGCTGGGTTATGCGCATGGATCTACGTTCGCATTCACCAAGTTCCACGTTTTGGACATGCTCAAGAAAGGAGAATCACGGGAGTTGTACAGGCTTCTTCTCTTTCCATTCTACTTTGGTAGACCAAGCGTAGAGAACTATCTTCACATGCTCTTCTTCTACAGGTACTCGTGCATGCTTGAGGAGTCATTAATGTACAAGTCAGACTACTTGTGGGTTCTACTCTGGTGCCACGTATTTCTGGCAATTAGTGCACTCTTTACGTTCATAGGAAACATGGGACCAGCTCTATCGTGCACCATCACGTATCTCTGGACAAGAAGGAATCCACGTGCACTGGTTCAGGCCTACGGATTTGTCACATTTCAGGCATTCTATATTCCATTCATTCTACCACTTTTTACGATGCTAAACAGTGGAACTGTGCAAATAGAGGAGCTACTTGGCATAGTCTGCGGGCATATCACGTACTTCTTACGTGACTGTGCTCCACGACTTGGATTTAATCCACTTAAGACACCTTGCTTTCTACACAGAATATTTAATGAGAAGAGGACGTGCTGTGAGAAGGAAGAGAGAGAACCAGATATTGATCAGGTACGGAAGATGATTGAGAAGAGGATTGAAGCAACAAAGAATGTGAGTCAAAATGTGGATGAAGATAAGGCATCAGAAGACTATGAATCAGAAGAATTCACAGATAGAACAAAGTTGAGTCCTATGATGGGAATGGAGCAGAATGAAGTGGCTGTAGAAGAAGTTGTGGTAGTTGCTGAGGACACTAAGAAGGAATTAGTTGATAGCAAAATGGAAGAGTCAGAAAAAAGCAAATTAGAAGATGATGAATCAGTTAGTAGCAAATCAGAAGAAGAAAACAGCAACTGGTCCAGTAATGAAATCAATAAGGAAGATGCTGATAATAATGGTGAGATTGACAATAAGAGTGATAAGGTTAAACAGTTTGATATTGAATCAAGTGATAGTATCAAGGAACTGAACATTGAGGAAATGAAGGTGACTAGAACAGCCGTGTTTACAGCAGATAGCATAAAGGATGCAATATCAGGGGGAATTGGTAGATTTAATGATACGGTAGAGAAGATGATGAAAGAGAAGGAAGTGGCACAAGTAGAGAAAGAAGAAGAGAGTGAGATATTCAGTGACAGTTGGAATGAGAAGGAGATTGAACTGTATGAAGAGAGGCATACGCCAAGCTTCCTATCGACTGAGGAGTCGAACAAGGAAGAGAACAAGAAAAATGTGGAGGAAAAAGAAGATGTGAAAGAGGAAACAAGGCCAGATGAGTCAAGCGAAGAGTGGGGATCAGGATAAGGGAATTCAACCTACTCTTTAACAAATATATGTGATTATTGCAATATACCTGATTAATCAGTCTTCCTGTTTGCTCAAATTGTTCAAATCGAGTCCTTTCACGTGTGTATTCGTTATTTTGATTCTTCTTTTGTACTTCTTGCGCTTTTCAATCTTCTTCACTGGCTCCTTCTTTGCTTCCTCGGTTTGGTGCTTGATTCCTGCCCTGTTCAACTCCTCTAAAACATTTTGGTAGTTTGGTACTGGAACACTCTCCCACATTTCACGTATTCGATCCAGAACATCATCCTCAGTGGGCAGATTTGAGACTGATTGATTCAGAAACACAATTTCACCTCCATCCAAGTCCCTCAGAATGATGAAATCGTCCTTCACAATCGGAGGCAGTGTCATTTTGCTTCTCTTTTTGACGCCCATTTGCTGTGGCATTGTCTCAGTCACTCCCATCACATCTCCCCTGATATCAAGTGGCCCATCATTCAGCCTCTCCATCTCTACGCCCTCATTTGCTGCCTTCAGAACAGCAATCACGTCCTCCCTGTTCTTGATATCAAATTCAGGCTAATAAAATATTTTGTCATTTTCTATTCTGATTTTTGGGTTGCTCTTCAACGCACTGATCAGCATTGCTATCTTCACACCAGTTCGTGATTCCACCTCCTTGATCGACAACTTAGTCGGTGACTTCTTCAGCACGTCCAGTATTCGATGCAGATACGTGTTGAAGTGTCTGTTATTCTGCATGGGTTTTCTGGGCTAAAATGATCTATAAATTATAGGCGGCTGTTTTGAGACTGGTTGAAATGCACCTGATTTTGAGGTGCTCCCTGAATACGCCACTTTCTGTCTTTTTGAATTCGTTCAGTCTTTTCTTCAGGCCGTAGAAGAATGGATTTGAGATCTCTTTGCCTGCTGCACTGTGAAATGACGGTTTCTTGTGCCTCTTGAACTTGGCCATCAACGTAAATTGACTCAGAAGCATCACATTTTTCTTACCAGTCTTCTCCATTATGAATTCAGCTGCCTTATTAATGTTATTCTCCTCTGATTCTGACACATCCTTCACTTCTAGCCCAACATAAACCACAAACCCGTCTTCTATTTCACTCACTGCCTCTCCAGATGCCATTGTCACCACACACCTCTCCACATTTTGTACTACAAAAATCATCCTAAAAATATTTGACATTTTTTACCGATGATCAGCAAATCGAGGGAGGAACTGAGTCGAAGAAAGGAGTATCTGAAGAAGAAGGAGGAACTGAAGGAGTGTTTGGATGAAAATAGGCGGATTCCACACAAACTGAGAGGAGAAGCACGAGAGATTCTTGATGAAATCATCTACAACAACGAGGAGGAAGAGATTCTGAAATATCCAAAGACGTTTGTGACGACGTCTCATAGTCCATCGACGTCACTAAAGGAGTTCAGCAAGCATCTTGCACTGATATTCAATGGTAGATTCGTTCCACGAAGCAGAATGAACGAAGAGGAGCTCTCTGAATTCTGTAACCAGAATGGCGTGACTCATCTTATCATAATGAACGAAGCAAAGGGGTCTCCCAGCACAATTTGTTTGTCAAAATATCCGTATGGGAAGACGCACTGGTTTACGGTACAAAATATGAAGTTCACAAGGAGGAAGCAGGCACTGAAGGAGAAGGCTGGTTTGGTTTTGGATGGGTTTGGAAGCAGTTTGGGAGAGAACCTGAAGAAGACTCTTCGTCTGATGGTTCCAGCCTACAAAAACATGAAGAAGTTCAAGGATGGAGACAGGGTGATTGGATTCGTAAATAGAGGAGGTGTGATTGGATTCAGACACAGCACAGTTGAGAGAAGAAGACTCGTTACAGACCTGGCTTTCGACATGAATTTGTACAAGGTGAGTGCTGGAACATTTGAGATGGAAGGAGGCGTGGAGTATCAGATGTCAGGATTCAAGAATATTGTGAAATACGACGTATTGGCTAAGGATGAAGAAGAGTAGATGATATGCCTGTTCCAGCACAATTTATGGTTTCGTGGCGCAATAGGTTAGCGCGTTCGACTGTTAATCGAGAGGTTCTGGGTTCGATCCCCAGCGTGACCGTATTTTTATGATTTATTGACCAGATTCATAAATTAGCAGACTACTTGTTCAATAGACTCTCGTTTGATTTGGAGCGGAAGAAGAGCAGACCAACCCACCTGAACTTGAGCTCGCCACTCTCATCCACCATGGCCTCGACATTCGAGTTGTTCTTCAGAATGTCCTCCACGTAGACCCAGACATCATCAGCAATCTCAAAGACCTCTTGCAATTGCGTAGAGTAGACTGTATCTGAAATACACTGTGTTTTGATTGCTATCATTGCTTGCTTGTTCAGACTAGTCAATACCTGACTTGCTATTTTCTCAGCCTTTGCCTTATTCTCCGATGCCTTTCTTCTTCCAGAATATAGTATTCTAATGAATAGAACTGTTCCAACAATTGCCACAAGTCCTTTCAGTCCCTTCATGATGTGGTACTTCAGGTAGAGTTTCATTCCTATTCTTGCATTGAGAGATTCAACTTGAGTTCCATTGAAATCGAGGAGATCGCTCTTCTTCAGCATCTCCCAAACAACGGCATCTGCTGCCAACTCCCTGACGTCTATCCTTGGTGACTTACGCATTCCATAGAGATATTCGCCCTTGATGTTTTCCAGTGTGCGAATGATGTTCTTGGCCTTTTGCCTGTTGTTGTATTCAATTCTTGTGTCATATGTGCAGTAATCAATGAATGAAGTCACCTTTCTATATCCTTTATCGCAGAATAACTTACCATCAACAAGATGAGCGTATTTGGGAAGTGGAACACACCATCTTAAAGAGCTCGTGCAGTACGGAATGAAGAACTTGAGCCATATCATTAGCATTACCAACGCAAGCAGAATGATTCTCTTGATAAACATGATAGTGCGTTGAATACGCCTTCCTCGTTTGTTTTTGCTCAATTTCTCACCAATGGAACTATCATGTGTTTTATCCCGACTCACTGATAATGATCTTGCTTTAGCCTTCAAATCTTCTGTTGTCCTTGTTTTCAACTCTTGTGATACTCTATCCCTTGGCTTACTCTCTTTGATTGCTACTTTTACAGTTGCCTTCTTAACTGTTGTTGCTGGTTCTTCTTTCTTCCTCTTTGGTGACATTTGGAACGTGTTTTCCTGACTGAAATTCATTCTTCTTCTCAATTCGTTCATTTTCCTATACACATGCTTATCATAATACTCAAGGAGCTCACTCTTCTTCACGTAGAGTGATGGAATCCCTTCAATATCTAACCTGGACATTATGTCTCTTAATTGTGGCTTAGTACACTTCGTGTATTCAAAATCCTTTTGTAGAACTTTGTTTAGGTCGAATTCATTTGTCATTGAGAGGGTAAAATAAAAAATTAGCAGAAAATCAATTTGCTCAATATTCAAGGTAGCTGACATCTATTTTGGGAGTTGGTGCAGATAGAACAGTGAGCACATCAAAAACCAACTGGCTCAGTATTGCACAGGTGTATAGTAGTGGTGATCTGTACACAAAAATATTGAAGTATATTTTGATGAAATCACCCAGGATCCACGCCAGGAAGAGCTCATTTGGCTTCTTTGGATCATCTCTGTACAGCACATAATGCAGATAAGTTGTCAGGACATCAAATATTAGTGCAAGGCCGTTGAAGATGAATCCTAGTTCGAGCATCTGGAGAATAAACAAAGCCACTCCAAAGATGAACATCTTCATCAAAGATGCCTCTAGATGCGATTTTTTGCTTCCTTTATCCTCAATTTTCTTACTTTTATTCATTTTTATGAGATATAGGTGCATGGCAATTAGGAAAATGTTCTGGTATAGTAGAATTCTGTTGTATTTCTTGTAAAGATAGTCGAATATCTTTATGGTGGCAGTGAATATGTTCATGAGCGACAGAATTGGCTTGTATTCTATGTTTCGTCTGTGTATCTGTGGCATAAAGCCAAAGATCGGTGATGATACGAATATTGTGTGAATGAAGAACATTGAATCAGGGTTATTTTTGAGCATAAACAAACTGGTTCATTTAATTCAGTTTCTTACAGTGACTCTGCCTTGCTTTCCAAATCATCAAGCATTGCGTCTATTTTGTCAACCAGTTCATAGTTTTCATTGATTAAATCCATCACATTTCCATTCTCATCGTAGAAGTTCTCAACCTGCTCATAGAACTTGTCAGTTAGTCCCTCAAACTCCGCAATTATTTTTGTATTCTCATGTGCATTCTCTTCCTTAGTGTCCAATTTGTCTAGTTCTGCACTGAAAAAGTCAAGTCCTTCAATCAGTTCATCCATCTTCGTGCCATTCTTCTTGATTTTCTCTTGAATGTTCACGTAGTTTGTCTTAGCCACTATCAACTTCATATCCTGTTCAAATACCTGTTCAGCACTCTTCTTAAATTCAGTAATGTTCTTATCTAAGATTGTTGTTTGCTTCTCCAGAATTTCTTTTAGTGTCAAATTGTACAAATTTAGACTGTTGTCTTGAATACTGCCCACTATTCCACTACTAACCGTCGCATTTGTTTTAGAATTGTTGTCTAAAATGGTAGTCTGTCCAGTTTGTGATTGTCCTGCACCAAATAGATTTGAGTTGCTTCCAAACATATTCGTGTTCGAATTATTGGTGGTGCTCTGATTGGGTTGTTGAATTCCACCAAATAAGTTGCTTCCACTCTTATTTGGATCATTATTGTTTTGTCCTGCATTGAATGGATTTTGCATTTTAGGCTAAAAAAGATTTACAAAAATATGACTGAATTTGATACAACTCTGTGTATTTTTCATTTATTGGATCATCTTCTAGAAGTTGGTTTTTGGTTTTGAAAGGTTCTTTTTATTTCTGTTTCAATAAAAAGTTGTAAAAAATCTCACCCATGCATAAAATTGGAATCGATATTGGTAACACCAAGACTGTGATCTATTCCAGTAAGCAGAATGGAACTGTTGTGACCGATGAGTATGACAAGAGGGAAATTGCAACTGTACTGGAATTGACCAAGCCAAAGAGATCCTATGGAAAAGGTTGTTCATCTGATGGAAATGAAAGTATATTGGTCAGGTTCCGTAGCTTCATGAGTCAAATTTTGACTGAAGAAGGTAGACTACATCTGTACATGTTTCTAGAACAGCTGCATAGAATTCTAGAATTGGAAGGAGGCTATAAGGGTGTTGCGCTTACAATTCCTGAATATTTTGGTTCGCAGGAAAAGGGTATTCTTCTGTCACTGACCAGAGCATCTAACCTCCGGGTAGTTAGTTTTGTAACACAACTGACTGCTGTAGCATCATATGCTGGTCTCCTAACCAAAACAGTACCTGATAATTTTATGTTGATGGATTTTGGATCCCACAAATCAACAATTGGCATTTTTGCTAAGAAAGATGGAAGAGTGACGCCGTTGGCACGCTTCTACTGTAAAAGAGGAGCCACTGATTTCGATGAAGCGATTTATAGGATGGTAGTTGAGAAATACAACCTGAGCAATAGCAAGGTGATAAAGGAGCGTATTTTCCAACAGACTGAGAAAATCAAGAAGGCCTTCAACAACTTTTCAGAAATATCCGTTACAATTCTGGATGATACTTATCAGAACATCCAAATCACTGTATCAAGAGAGGAACTGTATGAGCGAGTCAAGATTGTAATAGAAGAAATAGCACATTTTGTTTCATCTACAATGAAGGATACAGCGTATGATGGCCATATCGAAATTGTAGGCAAAAATAGCCAAAATAAGTTTATCAAGGATATTACAAAGAACTTCACTTGTTACACGACACTCCATACATCAGAAGCTGCTGCTCATGGTGCATGTCTATATTTGGCAGTGAATAGCAATTTAGAAATGAAGTACAAAGTTGATGAGATCATAGGAAGAGAAATCACGGCTAAGATTGGAGAAGAATCTTTCATTGTTTTCAGGTCGAATGATCTGATCAACAAGAAGAGAAAGATCAAGGTTCAGAAGAGTGGTGAGTTTGTTGTTGAACTTCATGAAGATGGAATTCTGTTCGGGACGATTACAGTCAAAAACACTGAAGAACTTGCTGAAACAGAAGCCGTTAGCATCGAAGTTGTCTTTGATGAATTCTGTCTCTTTAAAGTCAACTCAGCAAAGATTGTTGACATAAACCAGAGCACAGAATCAATTGAGAAGGTGCGAGATGGACAGAAGGTATTGGAGTTTGTGTTTGACACATTTACATTGGACACACTTGAAACGAACATGATTGTTCAGAAAGAGCAAGAATTTGCCACTATTGAAGAAAATTACAAGAAAGCAGGTGAAATCAGAAATGAAACTGAGCAAGTGCTTGATAATTTAGCAGGCTACTTGGAATCCAAGTTTAGCAATTTGGCTACAAGCGAAGATGTTGATAAGATCAATGCATTGGTGGACGAATACTTTTCACTGGATATCACCAGGGATTATGAAATAGAGAAGAAGCGTGCTGAAGAATACTATGGTAAGTTAGGATTCATCAGAGAGAAGTTGGAAGAGAGGGAAAAAGATATTGCTGAAGCAATGACGAAAATTGAGAATGAAATGAAGGATTTCATTGGAAAGAACAAGAAGGATTCTGATGTTATGATACCAATGCATAAGCTTGCAACTGAAATCAAGAAGTTTAAAGAGAATATGGCACTGAAATTGAACAATTTGGGTGGTTTTGATCACATATTTGCAAGTGAAGCACGTGAGAAATTTGAAGAAGCCAAGAAAGAGGTAGAACAGCTGATTGTGAAGAAAAGAGAGCGGGAAGAAAAGAGAAAGAATGAGGAGATTAAGAGGAAAGAAGAGGAAAGAAAAAGAGAAGAAGCCAAGAAAAGGAAAGAGGAAGAAAAACCCGAAGGAGAAGATACTGAACCTGAAAACACCAAGGCGGAATCTGATGCAAAAGAGTCTGATGAAGACCAACCTGAAAAGAAGGGATCAGAAACAGACCAGTCTAGTAAGGAACCAGTTATTTAATGATATTCTAGATCAGTTTAAATGAAATTGTCGCGTGTTCTTCGTTCTTCCTTTGATATTCTTCGGATGTATCGCAATTTGATGATGTTCTGGTACAGTTTGATCGTGGTAGTGAATACTAGAACAGATAGCAGAAATAGCACAGTGAAGAAGATCATTCTGGAGTAGGCAGAGCTGAGAAGAGTGCTAATTGTAGGTAGACGTGGGATGAGTCGCTCTGTAATATCAAATTCAGTGATTTGCCTGTTTCCATCTTCAATAACGCGTCTTTTGATTAGAAATAACTCACGATATTTTGATCTATCGTAGGTCTTGCTGTTCATGGATGTTGTTATTTTGCGTTCTATCTCTGGATGAATGTGTTTCATTTCATGGCTTAAGATGCGTCGAGCTGTTTTCTCATCAGTAGTGATTTTCTTGGCTGATATTTTAGTTTCGGAAGCGTCTTCATTCGCAATGTTCTCATTCAGTGCATCTTTGAACGTAGATTCAAGAACATTTGCAGCACGGAGCAATACTAGACTAAGAATCATTAGGTTTCAAAGAACAAACTGTTTTATTCTGATACAAAAATAAATAGAAACTGTTATATTTGATCTCTTTAATATATTGAGTATTTTTTGTTCATTCCTCTGCCTAATAATCCGCTATTATCTCCTCCTTCACCGCCTTTATTTTCACCGCCTTCTTCTTCACCACCACCATCTTTGTTAAACGTGTCAAGTGTTTCCTTTAGACTGGTTGGATCATTGTGATATAGCATAATGATCGTGAATATTTGCAATAGAATTATTATAATCAGAATAATCTTCCCGAACATGGCAACAAACAACCAAAAACTATATTCGGAAGTGTTTTAGGTTATTGTCATTTCTAAAACAAACCAATCTGTTACAATTCTTCTCTTTCAGCATCATGTAGACTGTTGGCACCTGTTTCATCATTGTTGATTGGTTTAAATCTCCTGTATAGATTTATACTTGGCCTGATAAATCTAATATATATTTTATCACACAGTATTAGCAGGCAAATCAGCAGCAAAAACTTATATGCTCGCTTAATCTGTGACACTTCACCACGTTCTTTATCTTTTAGTGTTTTGATTTTCGTATTTGCTTTTTGGATTTCTCTCAAAATATCAGTATTCGTGTAGTCTAGAGATTCAATTTTGATTGTGCCTTTCTCCAATTGCTTCTGATTTATGTCCGCTAACATAAGCTGTGTATTTAGCATCTTAAGTGTTTCAATTCCTTCTTCTTTGTATGTTTCTTGACTTTCTTTTTCATCGGATTTGATGTTTTTGTTCAAGAGAAATATCTTATTTGCCATTTCTCTGTAGTCATTCACTTTGTTTTGTGCTTTTTCATCGTGTGATTGATACAATTCAAGTTCATATTTGTTGATGAGTAGATGTATGTTTTTGAGGTAAAGACGCATGTCATTTCTTGACTTAAACTCTTTCTTAGCTAGCAGTGTTTCAATTTGTGCTTCCAGGCCCGAGATATTCAAATGTTTTTCCATGCAAACTAGGGTAAAAATTCGCATTTTGATAAATTCTGTACTTCAAGAATTTGTCAGTAGGGTCTGATTGCTTAGATTAAACAATTATTATAGAAGAACCAGATACATTATATACGACTGTATCATATAAATAGCATGGATAATAATTAGTAAGTGTTATTGTAACGGTAAACAGCATCAGAATAAACATGGGGTTATTTCAGGGTTTTCTTTATCCGGAATTAAAAAAGTTTCTCTGTTGACAGTATAATCAACTACGTGATCACATCTTAAATTGCTATACTGTAGTAGCTGTCCTAAGAATTCTTTTCCTTGAAAATATAACAGTTGTGAGCTAGGATCCGTCAAAATAATTCTTCTCACATTTTATTTATAGTCATACTGAAAGAAGCATGGCTGAGGAATGATAAAAAAACTCCCTGTAACAAAAGCCTAAGGACGTTTTACAAGGAGCGATACCCAGACATTTAAATAATCAGACTATAGAAAAGGCCAGGACAGGTGATATAGAAGAGGAATGGTAATAGTAATCGAGAACCCACGAATATAACTCCTAAACTGATGCAAATAATGCATCGAAGAACAAAAACTCAATAGACCATAAGATGCTGTAGCAAAACTAGTGGTTTTACTTTAGCGCGGCTTTATTGAGCACCTGGGATCAGGGGCCGCAAAGGTAGAATTGTATTTGTGATAATATTAGAGAAAGTGAATCAGAAAGAATACTTAGCCAAAATGTCCTGAGCGAGCAAGGAGAGAAATAAGAGAGTTATTTTGCCAGGACCGAAAGAAACAAGTGGGTGCTTCATTGACCGCGGGATGCTGCCCGGTTTCTTCTCCTCCTCAGGTTCCAATACCTGACTGGTCCCGAAAATAGAAAGACCGGTTTTCTCTTTTTGTACGGCTACCGCTCCACCCGCGCCCCCTGTCGACCCGTCGTGGATCGGGGCTTGGTCCCTTGGGACTCACCTAGACTTGGGAATCTCACTATCGTTTGTCATGGCAGGGATACTTCAGAGTGAATTTTGATGAAAACTCCTTCACTTCTCATGAACCACAACACAATTAGTGGGTGATATCGACTCTAACTCTTCTTTGACATATAATGGTAGGCAAGCTGATGACGCACGTGGGTGCTCCTGCACTTTTCTCCAATATCTGCTTTGCAGCACTCGATCTTCCTTGGTGTCTGTATACTGCCTGGTGTTACCCCCGATGTTTCCTGTCTTTACCTTGTATTACCCTCCTTCAACCTCCTACCGTATGTTTTCCTGCGTAGTTTCTCACCTGGAGTATTTCAGCGTCTTGCAATTCCTTCTTTTTTAAACGATTCACTGCCAAATTTTGTGAGTAAATTCACCTATCAGATCTAATCATGACATTTACATATCCTTTTATTGGTCACTGGATGATTAGGATGCTCATTTTCTATTCCGTACATTATATGGGTCATAGAACTAGTTTAATTGCGCTACCACTTGAAGTGGATACAACGAAAAATATAATATTATTCAGTAATTTACCTTTGCAAGCTCTTCGCATTAATGAGAAGACAAATAGTCCACAATGCAATGGCTATCATATTCATCACCATGAAGACCATGAACACATACTCCTTATCTTCACAGGCATCATTCTGATTCAAATGTACAATAATTCCCACAATTTTGTGATTTAGTGCAGTGCACAATAATAGCATTTGCATAAAAACCAAAAAATAAAAGTATTCCAATACCACAAGTAGTGGTGCCATAGCCCTGATACATATGACTACTACACATGAGACAATTACAATGGCAAATATACACAAAGCCAACCACTTACCACTATCTGTATTCCAGATAGAGTAAACCACACGTAAGCCGACCGAAGTTGCAAACAGAGTGAATTGCCAAACCATTCCATCAAAGTATTGCATCATCATGATTGTAATGAGCACCGAGATTATTGCAACAAAGGACCACAAATATAATTCCTTGGTGAGGCGATTTGAACAGGCAATGTCATCAGAAAAGTCAAAATTCCAATTCGGAGGCATATAAATGCTCATACCATTCTTGTGCATCAAGTACACAAGGTACTGATATAAAAATCCATAATCAAAAGGCGCAGCAGGTTCGTTCTGATTTAAAATCAGATACCCATAACAATTTCTACATGATTGTAAAATTGAATTACAGGCAAAGCTGCTTAGAAGTACGCTGACACACCTCATTAAACCAAAACCCAATATCGTAGCAAGTGACAAGAATACCCATAGCACGTATAAAAGTGCAACAATCAGGTATTTCTGATTTTCAGGTTCTTGATCAGAAATATCAAATGCGATGTAACAACCTAACATTACTGGTTGAACAAGTGTGATTAGGTACTTGTTAGTGTAAGAAATTGTATGCATTGCACATTCTATAATCAAATCCTCCATTAAAGGAATTTAATGAAACTGATTTCAGCCCCTAACTCCTTTAATGGAAAAGGAGAATGTGTAGAATTGATAGAATAGGTAGTTTGGTATCAAAGTATAGGTATATGCTTCTAGAAATAGCTGAAACGCAACGAAATGCTTATATTAAGATCCCCCTTAATTTTTACTAATTACTACAACCCACGATTGACGAACCACATACACATGAGGGAACAAAGAACAAGTAAGAGTACAAGACTATGGAAGAGAAGCAGTACAGAAAAACCTACGGGTTTATGATAAAGAGATGCAGGTATGAACAGAAGTTAAGAGAGATGAAATATTAGACAGAAGCTTCAATATTTTGAACAACCGGGACACCAGTGAAGATAGGGAATACTTAGGAGGAGTAATAGGTATTGACCCAGATGGCATAAGTTATGGAAGGCTAATTTTGCAGTATAATGGTATCTGAAAGGGAGCAAGCTCATATTCATGCATTATCAATCCGATGGTTAATAACATGTCAGAAAAGAACTCTAAATTCCGTAGAGAAACAATTCAAGAAATGAAACTTTTACCTTTCTTCAAGGTTCGTTGAGACAACAAACTCTTGTGATATAGAGTTAACTAAGGATTATGAAGATCAGGAAGAATCTTCTCAAAAACTACCTTAATGGTATTACCAGAAGACGCAACCCTCCATAAAAGAAAGAGCATGGACAAGAAACCCAAAGAAAGTACTATATTGCCTGCCGTGATTTAATCCGCCAAGTGAAGCTCTTCACAGAATTTGTTAATGAAAATTAACCCTATATTTAGTGAACCAGACAGACTGGAACCTAAAGCTGAAGACCAAATTCCGGGAACATATGGAAAGACTTCAGGACAAAAGATGCGTAGGAAAGTATACAAGGAACATGAAGGAGTAACGACAATAAGTCCGCAAGACACGAATAGCTGAGGAAAACCTGTGATAGTACCAAGGGAGACACAGAGCCTCAGCGCCGAGATTCATATTGCTGAGGCAATCAAGAAACTAATCAGGAAGCAAAGAACGAACCTCACGCTGTCCTTCGTGTTCAGTCTGTCTGTAATCAGCCACCTCGAAAAGTAACAGAAGAGTCTAATGAGGAATAATTCAGTAAATGTAGCCTCTTACTATTTCCCAAGGCTGCTCAGTACATATAGTCAATGCAGTTAAAGAACAAAATAACGTTTTTATGCTCTATTTTCTGAGACCTGAAAAATTGGTTCTAATTCAAAATGTCGAATGTTCATAATGTCGAATTTTCAAAATTATGGGGCAAATTTTAAAGAAGCAATAAGAGTCACTGTTTAATAGTAAATAAACTCCACTAGACTAAAAATATAGTCAATTGCATGCTGTCCAGACTCTTCCCTCTCAATGACAAACACAAGAAGTGACTCACTCATCTGTTTGTACTTCTTGTGCCTATACAGGTTCTCACCTGACTGCAACCTGAGGTACTTTAGGTGTACTGCCTCTGCCTCAGCACGCAACTTCTTCACAACGTTCCTAGAAGTCTTGTTCAACGTTCCAAAAGTTGAACGGAAGATGTTGTGTCAACCTTCAATGCCATTATTGGTACGTGGAATGTCTGCCAAAACATTCTCACGGTTGTTCCAAAGGCAAAGAGGATACAGCGGACCATTGCCATTAGCACCACTCACATATGTCTTATCAAAATAAGCATATGTGGAGGCTAGACAAGAAGGGAAGTCATCGTGATTACGTAACCAAGTGAATGTTTGTTGAACCTGAGCTGCAGGAACAAAGGCTAAACACTTCAGAGCCTGAACAAACTTACGCACAACACGATCACTGGCATACGACTCACTCATTCCAGAGCTATCCAATCGCCTTTGGATGCTTTGCCCCAGGTGAAACATACAACCAGACATCCTAGACGATGGATATACCGTCTTGAAGGCATTGATTGCAGCCTTTTCGAAGTCAGTTATGACAACATCAGGGTCTAAGCCAGGAATCAGACGATTCAAGTGACTTAGGAACTCCAGATAGCAGTTACCTGACTTCGAAGGAAGCAGATCATAGACGATAGGAAGGACGTGGTGGTCAACAAGGATTGAGATGGTATACATCTGAGCCCATCCAACAGGACAGACATCAAATGTACCGTCTATCGACCAGACCTTACCACTTCGGAACGGAACAACCATTGCGTTATCAAAAAAGATAACAATGTTGCTAGATTCTACCCAGCCATGCAAATGTCCAGGCCCAAATTGGTAGAACCTATCACCTCTGTAAGTGTACATGAGTGTCTCATCAATGTTCAACACAGGTTCAATGATTGTATCAGGGTCCACAGAATTCCTTCTTCGCCTATTTACCATCTGAACCAACGACGAAAAGGTTCCTGTCGTCGCTAGTACACTTTGGTTTACTCCTGAGAGTGCATCGTTGATTATCTTACGTGTAGCATCATCGGTTTCAACCGCAGAGGGTAAGAGTACAAACTCTGCTTCCGCCCCGGCAACCTCAAGGTTATTGCCAGTTTTTAACCTGGACTGACACCCCCTGTCTCTGCACCTCCACGTTGTCGTGGTTGTTCCTCTGTAATATACCGTATAACCATAGCCTCCACTATGGAGGCTATCTTTGCCTTTTTGGTTTTTTACAAGCGTGAACATAGGGTAGTAGAGAATGAAATTTATTTACATGCCAAGGGAATAGAATGATGCAGTAAAAGATAGGATAAAGATACGCTTCTCCTGTCCATGCACCTCCGTGTTGTCGTATTCGTTCCTTTGCAGTATACCGTATTTACCTCTCCGCAAACACAGCCAACACGAGAATTAGGGGTCTAGATAGAAAATGTTTATACGAAAAATTGTGTCCTATTTTTGTTATTCGACATTCTGAATATTCGACATTTTGAACATTCGACATTTTGAATCACCACGGAAAAATTAAGGTAGTTGTTATTCAGTTGATTACATAGAAGATGATCACACAGAAGCATCTGATGACCGGAGAAGAGATAAATAGGAACAGGATATATGAAAACCTCTTCAACTTCATTATTCAGAAGAGTGAAGTGTAGAAACAAGAAATAAAGAGCATTTCTTTGAGTTAATAGAGTTTACCTGCGTGCAAAAGAGTAAATTTAATGTTACTAGTGGAGACAGATTTAATTGCTCATATTCATTGATCAGGTTAGGGTGTAAAACCCAATTGATTATTAACGAAAAGAGTGTTTCCTAGAATTTAATTTTCAATAAAACATCTATAAAGTAAACCAATGGTAGATTATATCCCAAAATGAATTTGAAGCTGAGTCTCTAACAGACAAAGACAAATAAATCACTAATTTACAACCGTGGCGAAGTCAGCACAAAAGATTGAAAGCTATGAAAAAAATATTAATCTGTAATGGGAAAGTGTTGATTCAAGAAGATTAAACACTCACTGAATACAGGATACATTCAAATTGTATTATGCTCTTTATATTGGTTTTGAGAGGACGTGAAAACAGGTAATAAAAGGGTGATGTGAGTTAATTTGATTTATTGAATTTAGTCAATTCATAACCAGCATCAGTGATTCGTTGTGCAATGGTTGAAATGTATTCTGGGCCAATCTCACAACAACCACCAACTATTTGAGCACCTTGTTTGATCCAATCAATTACAAAATCAGCATAAACCTGACACTTTAAGTCTTCTCTGTGTCCTATGGCTGTATAATCGCGTGTTTTGATGAATGCATTGATATCCTTGAATCCATTACCGTATGCTCCAAATGGAATACAGAACTCTTTTAAACTGGTTAGTGACTTGGAAATAGCTTCTGGCATAGAACAATTCACCAGAACAGCATCTACCAATCCTGATTCAGCAATGAATTTTGCATCACTAAGCAGTTCACCTGATCTCAATTTCAATCCATCGTTATCATCCACAGTGAAAGAAATCCATACTGGTTTAAGTGGTTGATTTCTTTTAACTGCTACCAGAATGATCTGTGCATGATGAATAGATGCAACAGTCTCAAATATCAAAATATCTGCATCAGAAAGATTCTTGATGTATTCTGAATATAGATCAACTTGAACTTCAAATGGATGCATCACATCTTGATCTGATCTGTATGAATTGAATAGTGGTCCTAATGACCCTGCAACTAAACCAGATCCATTCTCCTTTCGTGCTTCCTGTGCTGCTTCCAATGCCATTTTGCATATTTCTTCTGCTGTTTTTGATATTGTCAATTTGCCAATTAGCCTCGATTTGACACCGATGTAGCTATTAGCAGTAGCAATATGTGATCCAGCCTTAAAATAATCCAAGTGAACATTCTTTGCAATTTCAGGACCATTGCCAAGGAATGCCGCATTTCCCCAATGATGCTTTAGTTCCTTTGGTGCACGTGCAAAGATTTCACCACCAACACCGCCATCAAGTAGAATAATGGAACGTTTATGTACAAAGTGTGACATGGGGGTATTGATCAATTTTTTTTGTAACGTGAAAATTGTTTGTGTTTAACATCAATAACTTGGAAAGAGCAGTGAGTAAGGATTATGTTGAAATTGATACCAAAACATGATAATACGCTAATTCTTAAACAAATAATATTGTTAAACCTTAAAGACGTCGGGATTGAAAGTTATCTTTTTGTTTGAAACATCTTAAGATCAATCTTAGTTTTAGTTATTTATTGAAGTACACTCGTTTGTATATTTTCCCTAAATACCTAGCGATGTTGAAATCATTAATTCACATACTAAGGTATAATATCGAGTTCATAGACAAGATATTGCTCGAAAGGTACCAGCATAGTCTTGAAATTTACTCATAAGAATTATGGGTCTCCCAATCTAGTAGTTATTTAACATTTTATTTGTAAATAACGGTTATTAAACAAGCTTCATCGTCTCTTGTAATAGAATTTTATGTTGTTTAACTTTTCCTTACCACAACTATTGTTAACATGACTTAAAACACCATATATTTATTGAATAACACATGTTTATGTTGTGGTGACAGCTAAATAGTCATTCATACACCTAATTTTATGTTATTTTTCTAGAGTTTTTAAAAAACCTCGTAAAACAACCAATAATGCACCAATATCTTATCAACCACACTCACTGCATCCTTCTTTGAACATTCATTTTCATCCCCAATATGAAAAAATGCTTTGCAATGACGTATGACAGATATTTCAGACATAGAAAAAGAATCTTCTGTCATACTGATAGTATTCATGCTATTGAATTATCAGAAACAGGCAAAATAATAGTAACTGCTGGTGAAGATGACTACGTAAATATTATGAACTGTTACACATTTGAAAGAGCATTCATTAATACACCACACATTGAACCAATATTAGATCTAAAGATTGAGAATGAACAAGTATTGTATACTACAGGAATAGATGGTCAGACTCATGTATTCGATTTATACAAAGAAGCATTCATTAGGTCGTATCACACAGAAGGACGAAATACCAAAATATCTATAGACCAGAATTCAAGTACAATAGGAATAAGTAACAGCAAATCAATATTGTTCTATGATAGATGTTCACCGACACATAAATCAGTCAGCAAAATGATGATCAAAAACAATGATGATTGTAAAATGGATTTTAGGCCAAATTATACAACTAAAACAGAATTCATTGTCACAAATGGAACTGATGAATTGAATATGTTTGATCATAGGAATTATAACACTCCAATATACAAATATTCTACAAGAAATATTCTGGCAGGAATATCAAATGTAGAGTGGAATAAAGCAGGAACACATTTTCTGGTATCAGAATGTTTCGATACTGCTTCATTGTATTCTGCAAAAAGAAACAAAGCACAGATGAAATTCGTAAAGAACAAACCAAATAATCACAAAACAGGTAAAACATTTAGATTTGGTGGACCTGATGATGAATACGTTTTAGGAGGATTTGATGATAAGAAATTGTGTTATTGGAAAATACTACCTGATCCAAGTTGGAAGAATCTGTTCAATATAAAGAACAAGTCGATTGAATCATTTGATCATGAAATGAGTAGTTCAGAAGAAATGAATATAGAGAAAGATGCATTCACGTATGGAATATGTAGAACAATATGTTCAAAAACTAAAGATAACATCGTTATGAACAATATGAGAATGGAATTGATAGGATTCAATAGCATTGTAAATCAAGCTGTAATGCATCCTAAAATACCAAGAATATTTGCAACAGGAAT